ACGCGTCAAAGTAGTGAACTATAAAATGTGGATGAATATTTCTAAGATTAGAAGTTAAAATTTAAACAAATTGAGACAATAATTAAATAAATTACTAATCTAGATTCACAATACAATCTTTGGATTTTGTATCAAAATTTGTTGAGTGTTCAGTCTGCAAGAAAAAGTGTTATAATTTCAACTTATTCGTTGCTATCAATAACAAGCAGTGAAATTTCTGTTTAAATGAAATATTCATAACCATTAAAGGGAGGAATAATTGTTCCCAAATCTACTGACTGTTACTCTAAATGCGAACGAACATTTCTTTGTTATTTTATATTGAAAACAATAAAAAATTTTCAAATTTATTTATTGTTTTCAATATAAAACTTTTTCGTTTGCATTTAGAGGAATAGGTTCTTCGTTATTGTTAACAAAATTCTATTAAAAAGTTTCACAAGTGGAATTTTTCACGTTAACAAGGTTGGCGAATGAAAAGAAGAACATCTTTCATGTGGAAATTTGAAATTTATAGCCTATAAGGGTTTTTTGTATTTAGCATGGTATAACATGGTTTTAATTTATATATAAAAAGTTTTGTTGTCAACTATTTATAACACGATTTATGCACATTTCATCTTTTGAAACATTTAATTAAAATTATTTAAATATTTTAAACTTGTTACTAAAAGTTAAAGTTTGATTTTTTAAATATACCAAAAATAGTTTCAAATAAAGCGATTTCCGCCAAATACAACTGATTTGTTAAAGTAATATAAATATTAAAATATCTTTTGTTTTTGTTTAAAAAAAAATAAGAAAACAATTATATAAAAGAAACTAACATAGAAAAAAAGCTAATATTTAATCAAATTTTAAGGTCATTTGTTTGTTTTTGTTTTTATCCCCTACATACTAATAAAACTAAAGTCACATATTTGTATTACATTAGTATCTCTTCTTTATAAAGTTTAATTTGTTAAATTTATCCCATATTTGAATATATGTATAGATAAGTAAAGTATGTTTAGTATATTATAAAACCCAAGTGTATTAGCAATAATAATAATAATAATTATAGAAAAAAAATCTAATAATATAAATATTAATTAATAAGTGAAAAAAGCTCCTAGTACATTAAAATTATTATATATATTTAAAAAAACACGGCAAAGTAATATGTTATTAATAAAAAAAAAGTATGATTAATAATATTTCAGTTTTGTATTTATGAGGTTGGTTTTTGTTTTAAGCTTAGATGTATATAAATTAATTAATAAAATAATTATAATTATAATAATAATAGTTAATTAAGAATATACAATATTGTCTTTCATAAAAAAATGAAATATTTATAAAATTTTCTTTAAAACTTTAAATAAACATGGTTCCAAATTTGTTTTAAAAACATAAACAAAGTAAAATATTTTAAAATCAAACGTTTTTCTTTCTTTTAATAATAATTTAAATGATTATTGTTTAAATTTAATTTGTTTTGTATATACGATTTTTTAAAATTTTGTGTTTTTGTTTAAAGTTTTGCATTTTTGTTTTTATATTTGTTATGAAAAAATAGGATTTATTAAAACTACTTTGTTTTTCAATCTTTTTCATTAATAATAATTATTTTTGTTTTTGTTGTTTTTTGTTTAATAAGGTACAAACTACATTTAGTGTATTACTAGTTATATGTATGTTTTAAATTATATTTTTATGTTTTTATATATGTATATATAAAAAAGGAATATTTTCTTGGTTTTCATAAAAATTTTACAATTTGTGTTTATTGTAGTTTAATAAAAGAAAAACACAATTATTTTAATTCTTTTTCTTGGTTTTCATATTATTTTAAAAGTGTAAGAAAGTGAGGAGAGGAGAAAGAGAGAAAATTTTATATATTTATATAGTTTTTAGTTTTGTTTTTTTTCGTTATACATATAAAAAGTTATTATAGTTTTATTTTATATTTTAAAAAATCTTTTAAATTTCATGTGCCTGTTGATTTTCTTTTCAATAAATTTTTGTTTCTTTTTATAAAACATTTAGTTTTAAGTTTTTCTTTTCTTTTAATCCGTAGTTTGTCTAAATTCTAAGTTTAAGTTTATTTTTTACATATGTATTTTTATTTATCTTGTTAAATATTTTTGTGTTTTCTTTTATAATTCTAAAAAAAACGTTTATTTTTTTTCAAACATTATACGTTTTCAAGGGAGTTTTCTTTGTTTTGTTTTTGCGTTTTTAAATATTTAAAATTTTTCTTTTCTTTATTCCATAGAAGTTTTTTTTTGTTTTTGCCTTTAGTTACAACTACATTTTGTGAAACTTTTCAAAGTTTTTTTTTTTTATAAAATTTAAAACTTATATTTGTTAGAGTTAAAAAAGTTAACATTTATCAAAATGTTAGAAAAAAAAGTTGCACATTTAAATTGTTATTATGAAATTATTTCAAATCCTAATGATTAAAATCATTTAAATGAAAGAAGTTTATAATTTCTAAACAAATTGTTTTCAAAAGTAGATTCGTTGTTGTCCGAATTGGAGTTGAATAACATCGTAAAATTATAGTTTATGTTTATTACTGAATTTGTATTTAATAAAAAATCGTTAATATTTTATATTAACATCAATGTCCTTAAAACAACTTGATATTATTTCAATGTTTTTAACCAAATTTTATAATGGTCGTCTTTTTTTAAAACTTTGAATATTTGTGTAAACTATTTCTTATTTTGAGAGCATTCATGGAGCCGTTCCGATGGAAAGTGGTATCATTACTTCATATAAAATTGTGTTACAACTTTAGTAAAGCAAAAACTTTAAACAAATAATTAAATTTTCGATCCTTATGGGGCCCATAAGGGTCTTTAAAGGTTTCTCTTCGTATCAAAACCTGATAGATTACATGTTAAATATTACATTTTATAATGAATTTTCAACAATTTAACAGATTTTGACAAAATAGCTCTATACTTTCCATTTTTTGGTGACAAAATAATGGAATTTTTCATTGAAATAGTTGCTAAAGATCTGGGAATAAATTACCGCATACGTGATCGAAGAGGATTGATTGTAATTTGAACAGGAAATCCAATATGATTCAGATACGAATGTATATACGATCACATAAGCCCTAATTGACAAATATGTATTTGGAAACTATAATTTTTGTCATTGAAAGGAGTCTGATGTACATCCCGGAAATCAAAATACCTTAAGTTATAACAGTTTGTTATAAAAACAACAACATCATTTAAACTTGGTTCGTTTTGATTTCAAGCGAAGTACAGCTCAAGTCCCTAAATGTTTTCTCAATTTTATTGTATTGTTTTGATCAACTGTTTTGATAAACTGTTTTGATAAACTGTTTTGATCAACTGTTTTGAAGTTTTTGAAGAAAAAGTTTATAGGAATTTGTAACATGTGTAAAGAACATTTGATATTGAAAGTGTTGACTTTTGAATCGTGAAGCAGTGAGAGAAAAATGTGTTAAAACTAAATTTTCTTACAAGATACAATTATACAGATATTTTATTAAATTGTTGTGGTCTAACTTTACTCTTAAAACATGTAAGGTTAAATTAGTCTTGTGGTTGTTTGTACAACTAAAGTACTAAAGAATTGAACTAAGAATTTATAAAACCCTTAGCCAGTAGTTCTTTCTTCATATAAAACTTTTGAAACCTAAATGTTTACTTACGAAATGTGTATTTCTGTTCGGTTAAAAACAATTTGTTTAAAAATTAATAAACTCTTTCATTTAAGTTTTTATATATAATTCAAAGATCTAAAATCTTTAAAGATTACTAAAATGTAAATTAAAAAGAAAATAAAGAAATAAAAAACGAAATAAACAATATTTAAACATTAAAAAAAAAACGACTTTTAGCGATAAAATTTCTACATATTTTTGTTTGTGGTTTCTATTAATATTAAACTAATTTACACAAGTAAAGTGTAAAAAAATTAATATTAATGTTAAGAACAAGATATAGTAGAAGGAGAGGAAGAAGGGACAGAGCGAGAGAGAGAGATATATATAAAAAGTGAGTAATTTTATAAATAATTCAATGATTTTAAGCCTAATACGCTTAATAACTCTATTCTATAAAAAGTACTCTCATATCAATATTTCAGCTTGTGTTTTCTTTAAAGATTTTTCATTATTTTTTATATATGTATGAATATAATAATTATAAGTATGAATATAAAATATGTATAATAAAGATAATTATTAATAATAAATATTTACAAACAAATTAATAAAAATATAAAATAATTATAGTTAAAAAAAACACATTTCCATTTTCTTCTTTCATTTCTAAACTTAAGTAATAAGGAAAAAGAAAAAAGGGTAAATAAACCAAGTCTTGCTTATTAGTTAAATGTAGGTTTATATAGTGTAAGGGGGTATTTGTGTGTTGTATATAATAATATATTATGTATAGAGGGGGGTTGTATGTATATATTTATATAGTATAGTTATAATTATAAACAATATAATCACTTCTTCTTAATATTTATATTAAAAAAAAAATTAAACAGAAAAGCATAAGATTAATAGATAATTAAAATAAATCAATTACATGCGCGTAAGTTCAACTCTAATTTAAATGGTTGTTGTTAATTTTTATGTTTTTACATAAAAGGACATAGTTGAAATCCTATTTGAAATGGAAATTGTTTACTTTTGTTGTTGTTGTTCTAAAGCTGGAACTGCTGTTAACAATGCAGCAGCAGCCGTATGATCATTATTAACATCAGCATTCATAAAATTTAAAATGTCAAAATAATTTGTAGAACCAGCCACTGATGTTGCTGCAACAGTTGTTTCATCATTATTATAAAAGTTACACATATTGTCACTAAGATTAGCTGATAATTGTTGCTGTTGCTCAAAGGTTGTTTTAAAATTAAAAATAGTTTGTTGCATCAATAGAAACCACCACTGTGTTAAGTGTAGATTTTGAATGTCTTGTACTGTTGCAGTTGTAGCTGCAGTGGTCGTAGTGGCTGTAGTGTTGGCCGCTATTTTTTCTATACCATCCACTACATCTGTATCAACACCAACACTAGCCAAGACAGTGTCTTCATTAGTATTATTGAAATTTAATAATTGTTGCAAGTTATACAGGTTATTATTATTATTATTGTTATCATCATCATCATTATTATTATTATTTATATAATTATTACGGCGATTACGTTTGTAATTATTAGGATTTTTTGTATTCTCTTCTTTTTGTAGTTTTAGCTGCTTGTTGCAATCATGCATAAACGATCTAGAATAGAAAAAATGTATTGTTCTTATTAATTAATCAATTCCCTTAAAAGGTTCAATTTTAATAATTGATTTTTTGTTCGATAGTTTTTCATTTGCTTTTTTATCGCTTTGACTCACTCGTTATGTTTAAATCAGTGTTTATTCGCCCCCATACCATATATTTGTCGGTGCGTAATGTGCATGTTTGCTGGCGGCTACCTGAGCTGGACTTAGGGGACCAAATTGGCTGTACTGCGTTGGAAATTGTATGTGAGCGGGCAATGGATGGGATGGTATAACCTAAAGGTAGGTTTTACAAGTATGGTTTTTATTTGTTTTGTTTTAATAGGAATTTGTCTTAAATATAAAATTCTTTATTAATATCAAAAATGAATGGATGAAAATTTATTTAGAATGATTAATATTTATGATTTTGTTAAATGAACTATTTATAATTTATAAATGGACTAAACTTCCAATATTTTACAAGTCTGTGAATGAATTGAATTTGTCTTCTAAGAAGATAGTTTTAAAAAAAATTCAATTAATTCATAAAAAAATGTTCTTATACTTAAGTGATTTTAAAGATTTAAGACAGAATGACATACAAATATGAAACATTATTAAAAAAAGTAATTTCTTTTCGATCCTAAATCTGTAATTCTAACTAAGTAGTAAAAAGAAACACAGCAATTGCTATTAGTGATCAGAAAAACGATATCTTACCTGACGACTTGAACTATTGTGAGCCGGTGGTGGAGCTACAACTGCACGATTGTATGTGTAAGTTGGTGCAGCTTGTGAAACAAAGACAGTAGGACGACGATACATATCATTCTGTACGGCAGCAGCATAAATGTCTTGTTGCAGCATGGCTGCGGCAGCAACTGCTGAAGAGGGTGAATTACCCATGGGCGTGGTTGTGTTGGTCTGGTGTTGAGATTGTGATGTATGTGTACCGGAGGGTTGTTGCTGTTGCAACTGAGAGGTATGAGATGTTTGACGATAAATTTGAGGAGCACCCCAAGATGGTGGTCCCACAGAGGCAGCTGCCGATGAAGAGGATGATGAGGAGCTCTTCGAATGGGCCATGGGTGGATGTACATTAGCCGAAGTGCCAGAAGAGGCTGGTTGCTGCACATAACCACCAGATGAGGAGGGAGCCACTGAGGGTGCCTCACGCTTGTGCAGTGCTAATGGTGGCGCCTGTTGTTGAGAGCCACCAGATGATGCTGCCCATGAGGAGCGTTTGTTGTCAACGTGTTGTGGCTGCTGCTGTTGTTGTTGTTGTGAGGGATAGTCATAGAATTCGGTTGGTTCCTGCTTGGTGGGTAAATGTGGTAAACTGGATGAGGTCTGAGAGCTGCTATTGGTGCTTGAGTGAGATGATGGCATGTAGCATTCATTTTGGGCCATGGCTAAAATACGTTTCTTCTGCGATTGCCCCGGTTCGTATTTGACACTAGGCTGGGGATATGCCTGAGCCGGTTGTTGCTGCTGTTGTGGTTGTTGATGATGCTGCTGCTGCTTGGGACTATTGCTGGCTGCATGGGTGGTATTACTGCGCCGTCGCATTTCATCATGATCATTATCACCTACGGTAACGCATGGTATTACTAGTTGTACATGTTTTGAACGATGATGGATAATAGAATTAGATGAATTATTGGATGAAGATGATGATGATGTGGCGGTCATGTTATTGGTGGAAGAGGAGTTTGGATTGTTTTGTGTGTGATTATTGTGGTTATGAGAGGATGTGGCAAATAGATTAGAGGATATAGAAAAATTTGTATTAGAGGAAGTATGTGGGGGAGCAGAAGGCCCAATAGATGATGAAGAGGAGGAGGAAGCAACAACATTATGATTGCTACTACTACCACCACCACCACCACCATACAAAAGATTTGAAGTCGAATGTTTGTGATGATGTTGTGGTTGAGGTTGTGAATTTTGACTATTATTGTGTGTTTGGTGGTGTTGGATGGAAGAAGTGGAAACAGATTTGGTATTGGAAGAAGAGGAAGAGTGTGAAGTGCCACCACAAGATAATTGCTGATGTTTTTGTTCATTATTCGAATGTAAATGCTGTTGTTGCTGCTGTTGATTTTGATGGTGATGATGTTGCTGCTGTTGCTGTTGTTGTTGATGATGGAGTTGCTGGTTATGACAATTTGAATTTGGCATATCAATAAAATTGCCAAAACCAGTTCCATTTCCGGTTCCACTTCCGCCAACCATAAATTCATTATTATTGTTACTATTATTGTTACTGTTGTGACTATTATTAGTAGTTGGTGTCATTGCTGACGACGATGATGATTTTATGGGCGCTATGGAGGCAGAAGAAAAATGATTTGTATTGTTCGTATTGTTATTTGTTGTATTATTGATATTGGTATTGGTGGTGGTAGTTGTGGTGATATTCATTGTCTTATTATTATTATTGCTACTATTACTACTGTTGCTAGTATTATTAGTTTTATTTAAATGTTGATCAAAGCCTATCGTGCTAGCTGTATTAATATTATCATGATGATGACTATTGCTATGATTATGATTTAAATTATTACTGTTATTTAAATTCAAAGTCATATTGCTATTGCTATTTGCATTCGTATTATTATTATGATTATTGCTATGGCTAGTAGTGATATTGCTATTTGTATTAGAGGATGATGATGAAGTGGAGGAGAAGGAGGAAGCATTATTACTTGAATTATTTTTCATAGCAGCAACACTATGTTGTAATTGATGTTGTTGCTGCTGATGTTGTGGCTGTTGCTGTAGTTGTTGCTGATGTTGTTGGTGTTGTGGCTGCTGTTGCTGTGATTGAGTTTGATTTTGATTCTGCGATGATGTATGATTAACATTCATCGTTTGCAATTGATGTTGTTGTTGTTGCTGCTGTTGCTGCTGTTGCTGATATTGTTGATATTTATTTGAATTTGAATTGGATGTTGCTGTTGTTGCTATTGACAATTTGTTAAGAGGTATAATAAATAAATAAGAAATTTATAGAAACTAAACGTGTGTGACTAATTTAAAACAATGATAAATATTATTGAAAATTTAACAAACAATTCAGTTGTTTCTTATTAAAAAATCAGTGATAATATTGAAAATTAAGGAAACAATTCAACATTTGTTTTCAGCCATCATGTGAGGAAAAGTAAGGAAATCAAATTAATGGTAGCACTGCAAACATGTATTCAAACAATAAATAATAAATGTTAGAACGAAAATTATAAAGGTTCAGAATTGAGAGCAGTTTTACTATCAACTCATTTTTCATTGCTTATTATTGTGTGAAGATCCCAATAGATGTTTAGCACTCATTTTTTGGTACATCGAATGATATTTAATCGACACAAGGATTATATTTTTCAACATACTATATTCGATGTTAAGACATTGATAAAGAATCATACAAAAGATCAACTACCATTTGCAATTAAACAATTAGATTGTTAATAGTTAAAACACGACTTGCCTAGCAAAACAGTCATTGTATAGACCGAAGGTTCCATAATAATTCCATAATCATTATCATCTCACATTAAAACTTGTTGAATTGTGTTAAAAATTTGATTTAAAAAAAAATATTACAAAAATAAAGAAATTATAAAATAAAAAAAAAAACATAATTTTCGCCACAAAATGGAAGCCGATTTCGATCAGCAACAGCAAATAATTTCTCAATAGATTTAAAACGAATCGTACAGCATTTTTGTTAAACGAATAATTCAAAGTAATAAATTTGTTGCTTTTTGCTTAAATTTAGAATATCACAGATAAACTATTTGCCACATCCAATTTGTTAGAGAAAAAAATGACAATAGAATCATAGACACAAACCAGCACAGTTAAATTTAAAAGCATGACTATGACTAATACTGAACTGATCTTTTCATATCCACACCACTACTACATATAAAATAATCTTTTAAAGCATTTCTGTTTTTTTCACACCAATCTCTTACTGTTCATCACTTTGACTTTAACTTGTCAAGAGATAGATCATCGTCATTCATACATAATTTTCTTTATCCAATCTTCACACCTTGAATTTGCTAAGAGGAAGGGACATAAAAATATAAGAATTTTAAAAATTTACCATATGTTTGCTGCTGCTGATGATGCATTTGTTGGGACTGTTGTGGCTGCTGTTGTTGTTGTTGTTGAGTTTGACTTTGTTGATGCGAATGACCATGTTGATGACCATTATTACGGCAGCTTATCGATGAAGAAGATGCCGAATGCTGCAGCATTGATGATGTCGTTTGCGATTGGGCATGTGCCCTTTGCTTACCCGGTGCTATATTGTTAACAATTGTTGGTCCATCAGCACCCTCATCTTCA